ATTTCATCTTTCCCTATTCAACTTGCCAGCTTTTTTGTGGATTTCGTGCTGAGGGGATTTTTACCCACAATGTGTTTTGTATTGTCCCAGTGTGTTTAAAAAAGGGGACTGCTTTCCCTACCAATTTCCTGTTTGTCAGCGCAGCACCCCCTACTCTCTGCTCTTGTGTTCACCCATCCAGAAAAACACGCAGCGCATGCCTCCCGTGCACCTGGCCTCGTTCTAGTTGTTGGTGACATCTGGAGAGGCAAGACATGGTCCTTGTCTTCAAGGAGACATCAGGTGGGATGGAAGCATGCACAAAGGGCCATGAGCATGGGGCGCGGGTAGTGACCTGTGAGCTGGGTCTGGAGGAAAGGGTAGGATTTTAAGGATGTGGGGATGAAAGAGTTGACGTTCTAGGCCAAGTGGACAGAGCACTGAACTTGACAGAATATGGTGCATCTGGGGAATGACAGGTAATTCGGGATGTGAGGGTATGAGTGGGGGGTGGACTTCTAGTACAACGGAAGGGGGGCAGGGGACACCAGATTGCCGAGGACTTCAAGAGTCAAGGACTTGGCTCCCATTCTGCCGGAAGCAGGAAGTTGATGAACTAGTTGAAACCAGGGAGGCTCACGGTCAAGCTGGTATCTGAGACCAAACATTATGACTTTTTTGAGATACCAATGAAATGATAGCAGTTTTTGCTAAGTATCGTACACAAAAGTACAGAGCAGAGGAGGTGGCCCAAAGGCCACTCTTAAAGAGGCTTGGTATAATGAAGGAACCAATACACCTTAGATTTATATTAGCTGTCCTGAGACACATGAAACAAATACAACAATGGGCGCCTCGGTGCCTCAGTTGGTTAAGCGACTGCCTTCGGCTCAGGTCATGATCCTGGAATCCCAGGATTGATCCCACATCAGGCTCCCAGCTCCATGGGGAGCTTCTCCCTCTGACCTTCTCCCCTCTCATGCTCTCTCTCACTCTCTCTCAAATAAATAAATAAAATTTAAAAAAAAAGGAAATACAATGATGCCTCTGTGGAGGGGGGTACTTGGGAAGCAAAGCTCTGGTTAATAAGGTCAGCCTGAAGGCAAGCAAAAAGGACTTTTGCCCGTGGTGGAGGGCTGTTAAGTAGGAAGAGGCAGGATATCTGTTCCTGAAGCTTCCTCTGTGAGGTTCTAGGCTTAGCCCAGCTGAACAGGGCTCCACACCCAAGGTTCTTGTGGCTGGGACACGTAGGAGTGGATTCTCTACAATGAGGACAGGAGGGGCCTGAGCATGCTTGGTTCTGCATAGACAAACAACCTAGAAGCAGGCCCCACCTCACTAAGAGAAAAGGAAGGCCCTGCAAAGCTGGGAAAACAAGGGGATCCCTCCCCCCGGATAAGTGATCCTATAGCACACCTCTACTTCTAAGAAATTTCTGACCACAAAGATGGCTCCTGTGTTACTTCCCCTTCTTTTACTGAATTGAGGCATTCATGCACCAAACATTTATTGAGTGCCTGCTGTGTGCTGGGTACCGTTTTAGGGGCTGGGAGATCCAGTGATGGGCAAAATACACAAGGTCCCTGACCTTATGGAATTTACCTTCTACTAGAGAAGACAGACAAGAAACAAGTGAATTACTATAGAATATGATTTTAAGTACCACTGAGGGCTGTAAAGGTGTTAATAAAGAACCATGTGATGGAGAGAAACTGTAGGCTCCAGCCAGGATAGTCATGGAGGTCTTCTCTGGGAGGGAACATCTGAGCTGACTTGAAAGCTACAAAGGAACCAGCCATGGAACTAGTCAGGGAAAGAGCCCTCTGGGCAAAGGGAGCAACAAGTGCAAAGGTCCTGAGATCAAAAGGGGCTGGGTATGTTGGGTGAGAAGGCCAGTGAGGCTGCAGCAGAGGGAGGAAGGAGGGGTGTGGCAGGATTGGTGGTCAGGGGGGGCACGAGCATGGGGCCAGATCACATAAAGTCCGGGGGTGGGGGTGGGTAAGGAGCTGAGACTTTGAGCATGCTGGCAAGCCACTGGGGGGTTTCTAGCAGGGGGCTGGTAGGACTAACATGGCCACCGTGTGGAAAGTAAGGAGGCAAAAATGGAAGCCGGGAGATGGATAGGTCATTGCCACGAAGCAGCAACCAGATAATGGTGGCTCAGATGGGGCCAGAGATGGCCGGATTCCAGAAATACGTGGTCCTCCCAAGGAGGAGGACTCCCAAGGTTTGCTGTTGGATTAGATGTGGCATAGGATGGAAAAGAGAGGAATCAAGAGCTCCCAAATTTCAGTCTGAGCATTTGGTTAGTGGCATTTTTCAGAGCTGGGGAAAACTGGGGTAGGGGGAAAAGTGAGTATGAGGGGAAGCACGAGTTCCACGCAGATGTTGGCTTGGCAGTTGGTTATGAGGCTATGTAGTACAGAGGTGTATAGATGGTACTTCAAATCTGAACGAGATCATTTAGGATGTGGTAGCTACTAGTCACATGGGACCGTCGAGCACTTGAAATTGAACAGCTCGAATTGAGATGAGCCATATGTGTGAGATGCTAACTGGATTTCAAAGACTTAGCATCGAAAATTAAAAAGAACGTAAAATATCCCCTTGCTATTAGTTTTATGATGATTACCTGTCGAGTCACTACTATCTTGGTTCTATTGAGTTAAATAAAATATGATAATGTTTGGGCTCTGCTGAGGTCAAAGTAACCACCCCCCCACCGTTTTCATTTGCTTTTTAAATGTGACTAACTAGGAATTCTGCAATGGCACATGTGGCTTGCAGTGGTGGCTCATGTTCAGGTTTCTACCAAGGAAGAGGTCACAGATAAAGAGGGCCAAGGACAGAGGCTTTAAGGGCTACAACATTTCAGATCCAGGGAGAGGAGAAAGATAAAGCAAAGGATTTTGAGAAGAATCAGCCAATGAGGTTGGAGGAAAATCAGGGAGTATGACGGTCAAAAAGGCAAAGTGATAAAATTATACAAAAAAGAGGGAGTGTCACATGTTGCTGGGAAGTCTGGGAACCCGCTGTGGCATTCAGTAAGAACCCTTTTGGTAGAGTCCTTTGGAAGGAGTTTGGGTTGGAAGCCTGAATTCACTCTCTGAGCCCAGGAGACTGAGAAGTGAAGACATAAGGATAGTAAGTATAGATGACACAACTTTTAAGTTTTCCTTAAAAGAGACAGGGAGAAATGGGGTGGTAATGGGAAGAGAATTTCAAATCAAGGGGAGGCATGTGTGTTTCGCTGTGGTGGTTTGTTGGTTGGGTGGTTGAGACAGGGAGACAGTTCAGCTGATAGTGGTGTTGTCTACAGGGCCCTTGGGATTCACTTTAGAGGGTGAGGCAAGGGTGCCAGGAAGGATGGGAGACGGTCTACCCTTGAGGGTTAGTCAAATCGAGAAATTCTATTAAGTGCTCTAAGGGATTCGGATACTGCCAAGATGTCCTCTTCTTTGTTCTCCCTCTTGGCTTCTATACTTTTCTCTTTGGTTGTTGCTTTGCTGTCTTCTGCTCCCACCAGTGTTGGGTTAAGGACAATAACCAGGACCACGGCCTGGTAATTTGGAAAACATGCTCCTTTTCTATGGACTTCTCCAAAGCTCAGAAAGAGTTTATTTCCCCAGTGTCTAAAAAGCCTTCTTTAGTTTTGGAGGGGCGGGGTGCTGGTATGTTTTTAAACTGGCCCAGGAACTCACCCATGATGTGAATTGCCTCTGGCCCAAGGAATTCTCCAGTCCTCCCTTGGAATTTCTGAGGCAATTCTGAATTTCTCCATTACTTTGCTCCTCCCAAATCTCCAGGTGGAATGTGTGTGTGCGTGTGTGTGTGTGTGTGAGAGAGAGAGCGAGAGAGAGAGAATTTGTGAGCGTTGTATGGGCTTGGGATTAAGTCATCTGCAGGCAGAACTGTGATATTGGTTCATAGAGTTTGAGTGACTTGAACATAGTATCAATACTTTTCAGCCAGGGCCGGCCGAGACACACCTGTCATCGAACGAGTTGGGTTTATTACTCACCACGGTAAGAAAGAACACACACCCTGGGAAATCACAGGATTTCAAAGTGAGAGGGTCTGTAGCCATCTTGACAGCAGGGCCCTCTCAGCCCTCACCGTGGTTTGGAAGCATTCGCTTTCCAAGGCCTCAGTCACTCTTGCTGGTGACCTCTCAAGTTGGCCTTAACCTCAGAGCCCACGGGCATCCCTCTCTACTTCCGGTGATGTATGGGTGGGGGGTGGGGGTGCATGTGGCTGGGGGCAGGACAGGACCTGCCTGGAATCCATCCATGAGACAGCAATGGCAGTTTGACTATGTCTGGGGGCTGAGCAGATCAGGGGTGGGGAAGGGGCTCCAGAAACTACCTAACCCCCACTTGATGGACCTTCAGCTAGTCAGATCAAGACCCTTGGGGGATTTCTTATGAGGCCAGACTCTGCCCGCCTCTCTACAGCTTCCCATGAATATAGCATCCTTTGTCTGGGCTAGGGTGCTGCTCAGATTCCCCCTCCCCAATCCGCATAAACTCCCATAAAAAATTTCAATATTGATTTTTAATGATCTGGTTATCCACAGACAGGTTTCCCTAGACCTGTCAGCCACCCCCAAGCTTTTGCTAGAAGGTTAGATTGAGGAGAAAATTTACAGTTGATGCTTAATCGATTATCTGTACTGGTGGAGATGGGTGATTCTCCCATGACGTAGAATCAGAGTAATGGGAGAATTAGCCTTTTGATGGTCACTTGGATGGCTTCCAATTTTTGGCTATTTAAAATGATGCAGTGATGAATTCTTGCATGTATATGTCTGTGTATTTGCCTGTTCTAGACATTTCATATACATGAAGTCATGATCTTTTTTTAAAGAAGAGTAATTCTCTCTCATGGCAATTCTTTTTGTCTGGTTTTCCTTGAATGGTTTAAGAATCTAATGGAAGGATAAGGAGTGAGGTAAAATGAGTGTGTTATGCCCAGGATATCAAGGATGATCTTTTGCTTTTTCACTCAATATTTTCCTTTAGTGATCCTACTATGGCTGAATCCCTTAGTGAGGTTTCTGGAAGTCTGGAAGTTCTGGAGGCCAACGATGAGGGTAAGTAGCCCAGTGGAATCTTGCCAACTAGAACTTGATTTGTTTACTGTGTTTAACTCCTAGGAAAAAAATGAAGTCACAAGCAAGCAAGTTACTATCAAATTTCTAATAACATTAGACTCAGTCTGCATTTACTTTGCAATTTTTTGGTCTCTTTTTTGGGGGGATCCATCTCTGATGTCACAAGGTTTGTCTGAAGCCCTGTAATCTACTTTGGGGATGGTTACCAGTTTCTACTTACTAAGGCAGGAAAAGTATTTCTGCTTAATCAGCAAAAAAAATTGGAGCAGAACCATGATCTGAGAGATTCGACTGAGGTTTTACTGTAGATATAATCCAGATTTAACCAACAAATTTGTGGTTTGAAGAATAAAGAGGGAATACAAACAAAAGATGTCACCGTAGGCCTCTATTAAGTGGGACTCAATTTACAAAACTTCTTTTTGTAAAATTTACTCAGACGTGTGCCCATTCCCTAAATTCTGGGGCCACTTAGGACTGATATGTGACTGTGAGTGAATATCAGTTCAGTGAGGCAAAAGTCACTAGACAATGATAAACCTCATTGACATCCCTCATCCCCACCACTGCAAAGGAACCATCAGGCATAAAATAAGACTTTAATTTGAATTTAAAGACAGGACTAAACGCAACAGTTTGCGGGGTTGTTTTCAATTTTTTTTAAAAGATTTTATTTATTTGTTTGACAGAGAGAGATGACAAGTAGGCAGAGAGGCAGGCAGAGAGAGAGGAGGAAGCAGGCTCCCTGCCAAGCAGAGAGCCCGATGTGGGACTCGATCCCAGGACCCTGAGATCATTATAGGAGCCAAAGGCAGAGGCTTAACCCACTGAGCCACCCAGCCGCCCTATTTTCAATTTTTATTGAAGTAGAGCATGATGTGGAAGACTTGATTTGGAAGAACAAAATGGAACCTTCTTGTGGCTTCCTAGAGCCTGATTTTACTGCTGATGTGGAGCTGATGTGTGTGGGGGGGGATGTTGAACCTGGGGCATGGATCCTTGAGGGCAGGGCCTGGGTCTTCGTTTCCGTGTCAACCATTGTTTAGTACTGGGTCTCAGAGAGAGAGGGACCTTAGATATCACAAATATTCAATCAATAAATGGATTTAAAAAAAACAATGATGGGCCTCTTCACCAAGGCAGCCCCCTACCAAACCAACTGACCTATTGTTTTGGATATGAGCTAGACAGATGGCTACAAAAGAAGGCAATGCAGTACGACTTGATGACGAGTGAAGGTAAGGAAATGCCTTTTCTCTGTTTGCAAGATTTTGTTGTTTAAAAGCCCAGACAGTTGGGTATGTTTTTAGAGCTAGTTGTTGCTGGCCAGAGGATAGTATGGCTATTTGGAGGTTGATGGAGAGAAAGGCCAGTTAGAAATTTTTTCTTTCTAAGCAGCGATGCAAGAGAACAAAGTCACTGTCACACGATGCATTTTTAAAGCCTATCAAGTTAAATCCAGGTGGTCTGCCTGTGTGCGCGGTGGATAAGCAAATATACGACCCAGCAGCGATGATTTCTTCATTAGAGTTAACTGTGTTTTTTTGTGGCATGTGATACATTGTCCTCATTGGATGAGGATGTTGAGAGCTCCTGCCTGTTTGGGAATAAGTAGTCCTTGGACTTGGACAGGGAATTCAGTGGCTTTGTTATAGGAAAATTCCAGAAGCTGGCAGTGGGCACCTCACTGCCCACTACTGCAGTGCCTCGGGGCCGGGGGAAGAGGGCACAAGTTCCCCAGTGTGGAGGTGACCTACATAAACATTGCTGGATACAAATGTGGGCTGCGACCTCTACGTCTACCTGCTGCTTAAGTCTATCTAGCCTTTTGGACTACAGCAGCTTTTGAAAACCAGCCTGGGCGGGGCTCAGCTGCTGATGATTTAAAGACACCCCTTTTGCAAAAGAGAGCTTGAAAGGCAATTCATACTCTCCAATATAGGGCAAATGTCTCAGAGTTCAGTGGGGTTTCAGGAAACATAACGTGTGGACCGTTCCTGGACTGGTAGCTACTTCTCAGGGCCCATCTCCACACATGGGGTCTGATGTGGATGGGGCTCCAGAATCTCCCAAGCCAAAACCATCTCTGCCAACAAAGCTCTTACCCCGCACCCTGTCCCCCCAACCTGGTCTAGTCCCAGTACTCAGAGCTATCCCACAGGGACGAATGGAAACATTGTTTTCCTTCTAATGCCCACGGTTGAAAGAGATACACAGTACTTAGGTATTTTGGATCCTCATGGGAAAATAGGTTGGTTTTGGTCAGCAAAAATAGAAAACTGAGGAGAGGGGGACGGAAATTGAAATACATGCATCATTAATGCTAGTCCCTGGTAGAGTTCTAAAGTCACTAGCCATTTTGCTGATTTAGGGACATAAAAAGGTGTTGGTGCCTAATTTTGTCTGCCCATACAATGATTATGGTTGGTACATTCAGTTTTAGAGACCAAATGCTTATTAGAGGTGTTTTTATTCAGTTATTAAATGTTTGTAGATTGCATCATAAGTGCAGCTACTAGCCGCTGATGCTCTCCTCTCTGCCTTTGCTGGTTTGTGAAAAGCAGGTTTGCCCTCCTCCCATCTAGTTGGGGATTTTGAAGCAAGAGAGGCAACAACCAATATGTTTCTAAACACTCTGAGCATAAAGTTGTTCCTCTTTTAGAAAACCGGAAGGAGACCACACGTCAAGAATCAATAAATCTTATTGGTTCTGGGTGAAAACTGGCAGGGACTTTTACACCAGAGAAATAGGCAAATACTGCAGATAAGGGCATTTCCCCCAAGATATCCAGTTGATAAATCTTTTCCAGCAAAGACTCGATTGTAGCAATCAGTACAGTAGAGTAACTCTCAATCATTTCTGAGCCACCCCCAGCATCTTTCTAAATAATTTATCATTATAGAAATTAGTTGAATTTTTCCTGAAAAAAAAATTACAGAAGGAAACTTGAAAAAAATATGTTTCCTTCAGTGTCTTCGTGTTTTAATCTTTCTATCCGCAGATAGAATTGCCAAATTGGTCCCCATCATGACCCTATTTAGATACATCCTGGTAGATGAGAAATGGCCCAACTCATCCCAAACAGGAATTACTTAAGCAGAGATTATCAAGCACACAGTCCTCTGTCTTCTTGTATTGTCCCACCCCACACCAGCTTCTGCTTCTAATCATTATACTGTACAGATCACTATTGATTGATAGATACGGGGCTGCTTCTCCTTATCTATAGATAAATAGAACTGATAGACCAATTGTCCAGATATAATTGATTCTGGTCTTAATGAACAAGTAATTATTGGGGCACCTGGTCGACTCTGTGGAGAGAGTATGCAACGTGTTGATCTCAGGGCTGTGAGTTCAAGCCCCATATTGGGCTTTGAGTTTATGTGAAAACAAACAAACAAACAATTTTTTAAAGAAATGAGTAATTATTGATTCCCTCGTACTAGCTCACAGTTACTAGCACTTGCACCATGCCAGATCCTATGCTAAGCTCTTTACCTACACTTTTTACAACTTATATGAACCCTGACAAGGGCCAGTGTTTAAATTATTGGATGCTTAAGGATGACTCTGCTTGGTGACCTCAATTTAAGGGAATTGACAGATGTCCCTTGGGTGTATGCCTTTCATGGTGCTGGTTGCTGAAGGGATGTGAAGAAGGGCCTGCCTACAGCCTTGATGTGGGGGACAGTAGCTAAGACAGGGAACTGTATCTTATTCCTTCCTCATTGGTCTTAAATATTTGTTGGATGGAAGGATTGGTGGATGGATTGGTGGGTGGATAAATGAATGGATGGTTGGATTGGTGGATGGATGGATAGATAGATGGATGGATAGATGGATTGGTGAGTGGATGGATGGATGGATGGGCTGGTGAATGGATGGATGGATGGAAGGATGGATGGATAGATTGGTGGATGGATGGATGGATGGATGGATGGATTGGTGGGTGGATGGATGGATGGATGGGATGGTGAATGGATGGTTGGACTAGTGAATGAATGGATGGATGGATGGATGGATGATGGATGGATGGATGGATGGACGGATGGATAGATGGATGGATTGGTGGATGGATGGATGGATGGATGGATGGATGAATAGATGAATAGATGGAAGGATTGGTGGGTGGATATATGGATGGATGTATGGATGGATTCATGGACTGGTGGATGGATGGATGGATGGATGGATGGATGGATGGATAGATGGATGGATAGATGGATGTGATTGGTGGACATTGGACTGAAGGTAGGCCTTGAAGTGTAGAAACCTTTCTCATAGGCCATAGGATTCCAAGCTAGAAGGAACCCTAGTTCAGCATTTCCCAAAGTGTGTTTTGCCAGATATTTTGCTGACATGATTTTCGGAGACAACATGGATGCCCAGTATCTTAGAGCATTACTATTCACACAGGCATATTGAAGTTCCAGAAAAGTCTTATTGGAAAGCAGAGACCTAAACTTTGCTTAATCCAGCATTTTTCAGAATGACTGGCCTACAGATCCCTTTGTCATTCAATAGACCAATAATAGCTCTCTGAACACACTTTGGGAGATGTTGATTTGTGTGATCCCTTCATTGCCCTGCTTCCTTCCAGGAGGTTGAATGACTTACCCAAAGTCACTGAGCTAATTGTTCGTAGAGCCAAGTCGAGGATTCCAAACTGTTCTGACTCTTGGGTGGTACTCTCTGTTACACCGCTGAACCTTTGTAAAGGCTGCCCCATTGACAACTCCCTTGCCTGGGCCGTTGCCTGCCAGTGCAGCATTGCTGTGTTGGCAAGAGGCCTTTCAGAGACCAGACTGTTGGGAATTTGGACGAGACACCTACGCTGGTAAATTATTGCATGTGAAAGCAGTCAGAGCTGACTTCTTCCCTCAGAAGAATGCAATACGCGCTCCCCTCTCCTCGTCCCTCTTCTGCTGAGCCCCACTAAAGACACATGTGCTTGTTAGGAAACTAAGAAATGCCCTAACAGATCCTTAGGAACATTTAAAACTCCCATGCCTCACTTCTGCCCTGGTGGTTCACGCAGATGGAGCAAACTTGCAATTATTTACAAGTGCAGAGGGTGGTAGCTAACCCAGACAAAACAGCAATAATGAAAGAACACACACAGTGCACATGGCGCATGCATGCACGCACCCATGCAGACACACACGCACTCACACATGCACACAGTCACTCACGCATGCATGCACGCACTCTTTGCAAAACACTTTGGTATCTGATTCTGTCAGCCTTTTGCACGGGCAGCTTCTTTGCCCCATGGCCCTTTCTTCCCAATTCCAAGCCCTCTCCCTTGCTCCCAAATCCCCTCCTTGAGGACGGCTTCCCTGACTGCACCGGACAGCCCTTACCCCGTAGATCTGCATCCTTTCAGCACACAAATCTGACCAGTCCCAGATCCCACCTGCAACTCCAGGGGTCCTGAGGGGCTTTCTTGCATGTAGAAGCTCATGTGAAATCAGGGGGGTGACCTCTGCTTAGGTGGGCTCAGTAATTACTGTAGATGAGTGAATTTCTTGGGTCAGGAAATCTCCCCCAGAAACTCAGACACTTGGTCCTATGGAATTATAAAAAAGGGAGCAGGCCACACGCATGGTGTCACGGTGTTGTGGGCCCAGGAAAGGGTATGGGGCAGGGCGGGGTGGGGGGAACGAGAACCAAGTCTGCAGGCCACCTGGGATCACGGTCCTTGTTCCTGTCCCAAAGGCCCCATTTCCTCCCCATCTTCCCTTCTACTGTCACACTCTGCCTCGCTTTTGTTCCTTAACTTCCAGTAAAGAAGAAATCCAAATTCAAAGCCTTCAAGAACTTTTTTGGCAAGAAGAAGAAGAAAGAGCCGGAAGGTGCCCGGGGAGGGAGGAGGCTGAAGCCAAGCTTGTCCAGCGGCAGTATTAACATCTCTTCTCTGAAGCCGGTTCGGGAAGGTCAGCGTGCCGAGACCAGGTAAGGGCCAGTGGGTGGCAGTCACTGCCCGGGGTGGCCGGGGCCTGGGGGCCTTTCTCCATGCTCACGCCAATGCTTATTATTGGGGCATGTGGCTCAGTAGGTGGGCAGCTGCAGGACATTGACCCCGAGAGTACTGGCTACAGACAGACCAGGGTGGCCCTCCTGTGTCAGAGCTGAAGGAACTTGACCCACGAGGTGTCTCCCTAACGAGGAGCTGGAGGCCTCCCTCCATTCATTACAATAAAGGCAACCTGCCTCCTATAGGCAGCCAGGCCTGGTTTGCCTGCCCGGCCCTCAGACTATAGATCTGCAATTCCTTCTCCTAATGTGGGATTCAGATATCAGATGCTGAAGCCAGTCTAGCCTGAAATCACTTGTGTTACTGTAAAAACAAACAAAGAAAGGATCAGGCAACAACCCAGGAGACAGGCGGATTGTGGGGGTGGGGGTGGGGAGAGGAAGATGCTCTAACTGGTCCCAGAATGGGGAAGACCGTTTCTCGGCCACCGCTGTCCCACTTTTCATCTGTGATGCGCCCATTTCCGTATCTGACCATCCAGTACCCCCGGGTATTCCTGGTTGCATCAGCTTCCCCCTCTGCACAGTTCCCCTTTGGCCTGTTCGCCTGGCCCGAACATTCCAGACTTATCTGTGCTGCCCACCGAGCTCACCTGTGCTGCTGGAAATGGGACAGTCAGCAAACCTGACAGCACCTTGGCCTCCTTCAGGAGGTCCTTCATAAGTGGGTTGGCTGTGAGTAATTTCAGATAGCTTTGCTGGTGGGGGGATGGTTTGGGACAGAGAGACTTGTATCATACCTCACAAATCATGCCATGATATAGACCAGAGCAGGGAGGAGGGTAGAGGGGAGTTTGGGTCTACTCTGCGTTGTCTGTACGAATTGGCAAGGGCCATCTCCACTAAAGTTTTGGGTTTCCCCCTTCCTACTTGTCCCTCTGCCTCCAAAGTGGCCAATTGGTTCTGATGCATTCTCCACACTAAGAAGGCAGGTGCATGCAGAGCTTGCAGGTTGTGGGGAGGATAGGAGGGAGTGGGGGGACAGGAAGAAGGAGAGGAGGGGGTGAATGGAAGTGTGTGAAATAATTTATACATGAGGAAGAGTGTTTTTCTAAGTGTCTGAAATAGGTCTTTTTTTGAGGGGGGAGAGGGCAAGGAGCATAAATTAATTAAGAGTATAATGTAGTAGTTCTGACATTTACCCCTGACCCCAGTCACTTGCTTCACGTGTTAGGGGGAAAACCCTGGAGAATGTCACTCAGCAGTTGGGAAGAAAAATCAGCCTCTATCCGTGGAAGCTAACAAAACGTAAAGCCAGCCCTCCCCTCGCCTATACGATAGGACCAGTATCCATTTCTAAGTCTGTATTAAGCCCTACCTGATAAAGTAGAGAGATCTCATGCAGCCATTTTGATATTTTTAAAAAGATTTTATTTATTTATTTGAGAAAGAGAGAGAGTGAGAGAGAGGATGAGAGGGGAGAAGGTCAAAGGGAGAAGCAGACTCCCCACGGAGCTGGGAGCCCAATGTGGGACTCCGTCCCTGGACTCCGGGATCATGACCTGAGCCGAAGGCAATCGCTTAACCAACTGAGCCACCCAGGTGCCCTTGATTTTTTTTTTTAAATGGGTGCTGACATGATGCACTTTATTGCCTTTAATTAAGGCCAAGGTTTTGTTTGGAGTTTTAGATGCATTTTCTTCCTCTTGTCCCCCCAGGAAGCCAATTGGTAGGTGTTAGATAGGTTCAGCGGGTGGGCAATTCAGTTTCTGACAAACATGGCCACAGCCAGAGCTACAGGAATCCTTGGTTTAGGGAGGGTCTAGCTCTACAGAGCCACTTCAGCAGCCGCACTCTGGCTGGAAATGACGGTTTCTAAGCCCACCCATGGCCCAAGATTTCCTTGCAGATTTTCTGCCCAAAGCAGGGGAGGCCAGGTAGTCACAGATGGTCCTAAGGCTGGGACATCTGTGGGACCACGATACTGGTCCCAGGCCTGATTTGAGCTGGCAGGTCATAGAGCAACAGTGAATGACAGCATCTCTGTGCACAAAATGAGGGAAAGTGTGTCTAGAGAGGGTCTGGGAACTTTGCTCTCTCAATGCCGCATCAGTCTTGTGTCATCATTAAGCATTTAGTAAGAGTCCTGTGAATTTTCTGCAGGACTGCCATTTTGATAAGACAGAGCATGTTGCCCTCACCACCAGAGCCACCTGGGTAGCAGAGTTTTATAGGGAAAAAGTGGGTAATACAAAGGCATCTGCCTCCTCTCTTCTTGTGGACCTACAAGCCACCTTAGTATGGGTGCCATTTTAATCCCCATAACACCAGATTGTCCTCAGAGTGTGTTGTGATCAGATCTAGCCATGCACACGTCCCACAGTCAGATGAGCTCACGATGATCGGGTGGGTACTGGTCCTATAGAGCCCGAGCTGCTACTCTGGGTACCATTTACAGATTGTTTTTTAGGGGGGCACCTGGGTGCCTCGGTCGGTTGAATGTTGGACTCTTGATTTCAGCTCAGGTCATGATCTCAGGGTCGTGAGATTGAGCCCTGGGACAGGCTCCACACTGGGCATGGAGCCTGCTTAAGATTCTCTCTCTCCCTCTGCCCCCTGCCCTGCCACTCATTCTTGCTCTCTCCCTCAAAAAAAAAAAAGATTATTTTTTAGGGGCTCCTGGCTGGCTCAGTAGAGCACACAACCCTTGATCCCAGGGTCATGAGTTCAAGTGCCATGTTGGGCATGGAGCCTTACTTAGGGGAGAAAAAAAAGATTATTTTCTAAAGCACTAACCTATATGTATTACAGTAAATGTTTCATAATGAAGGTAATATATACCAAAAAAGTATATGAAATTTCAAACAATTATTTTATCTAATTTAAAAACATTTCCACCCCTCCATAAAAGAAATCGTGGACCCATTAGCAATCAGCCTCCATTCTTCCCTATCCCCATTTCACCCCAAGGTGATCACTTATCTAGTTTCTGTCTCTCTCAATTTGTTTATTCTGGATACTTCCTATAAATGGTATCATACAGTATGTGGTCTTTTGTGACTGGCTTATTTCCCTAAGCATGTTTTTGTTTTCCAAGGTCATCCAGGTGGTAGCATGAGTCCAATAGATAATTTCTTCATACTGCTGAATAGTATTCCAGAGTATGAATACACCACGTTTTATCTGTTCATCAGATGATAGATACTTAGGTGTTTCTATCCTTTGGCTATTATGGAGAATGCTGCTATGAACATCTGCGTACAAGTTTTTGGACGGATATATGTTTTTATTTCTCTTGGGTATACACCTAGGAGTGTATTGGGTCATATGGTAATTAAAGGCTCAAGTTTTTGAAGAACCATTAAATGGTTTTTCTAAATGCCTGCCCCATTTTACATTTCCACCAGTAGTGCATGGGGGTTCCTGTTTCTCCCCAACCTTGCCAACACTTGTTACTATCTGAGTTTTTGTTTCTAGCCATTCTGATGGGTCTAAAGGAGCATCTCATTATGTTTTGGATTTATATTTCCTGATTGGCTAATGAATGGTCAAGCATCTTTTCATATGCTTGTTGGCTATCTGTATATCTTCTCTAGAGAAATATCTATTGAGATCCTTCACCCATTTAAAAAATTGGGTTATTTATCTTTTTATTATTGAATTTTAAGAGTTCCTCGTGTATTCTAAATATGAATCCTTTATCAAATATATAATCTGCAGGGTCTCCTGGGTGGCTCAGTCAGTTAAGCATCTGCCTTCAGCTCAGGTCGTGATCCCAGGGTCCTGGGATTGGGTCCCACATTGGGCTTCCTGATTGGAGGGGGGAGTCTGCTCCTCCCTTTCCCTCTGCCCCTCCTCCCTCTATTCGTGTTCTCTCTCTCTCTCTCTCTCTGAAATACATAAATAAATAATCTTTTTAAAAAGATATACAATCTGAAAAGATTCCCCCCCTTTATGTGTGTTGTCCTTTCACTTTCTTGCTAGTATCCTTCAAAGCTTAATTCTGATCAAATCCATTTATTTATTTTTTTCTTCAATTGCTTAAGATTTTGGAGTCATAGTCTAAGAATCCATTGCCAAATTCAGGTCATGAAGATACACCCCCCCCAATATTTTCTTCTCAGAGTTTTAACTCTTCTATTTAGGTCTTTGATCCATCTTGAGTTTGTGTTTATATACGGTATGAGATAGGATCTAACTTCTCCCTCCTATATGTATCTATCCAGTTTTCTCAGCAACATTTTTTGAAAAAACTCTTCTTTCCCCATTGAACAGTCTTGGCACCCTTTTTGCAAATCAATTAACCATAGATGAACGAGTTGATTTCTGGACTCTTAGTTCTATTCCATTGATCTATATATCTGTCCTCATGCCAGTACCACACTGTCTTGATTATGGCAGCTTTGTATTAAGTTTTGAAATTGGCAAGTGTGAGTTTTCCAACTTTGTTCTTCTTCAAGATTGTTTTATCAGTTTGTAGCCCCTTGCATTTCACTATGAATTTAAAGATCATCCTGGTCCACTTCTGCCAAAGAAAATTAAAAAGGCAGCTGGAATTTTAATAGTAATCGCATTAAATCTGTAGATCAGTTTGTGGACTATTGCCATCTTGACAAGATTGAGTCTTTCGAGCCTTGAGCATAGGTTGCTTTTTCATTTACTTAGATTTTCTTCTTTAATTTTCTTTCATGAGTGTTTTAGAGTGCTCAGAGTATAATTTTTACACACTTTTCATTAAATTTGTTCCTAAGCATTTTATTCTTCTTGATGTTATTTGTAAAGGTTGAAAATTGGAAGTGTTTTTGTAATTTCATTTCCAGGTTCTTCATTGCCAGTATATAGAAAGACAATCAATTGTTGTATATTGGTTTTTTATCCTCCAACTTTGCTGAACTCATTTATTAGTTCTAGTAGTTTTTATTGGATTCCTTAGGAGTTTTATATACAAGATTGTGTCATCTATGATTGGAGATAATTTCACTTCTTCCTGTCCAATATGGATGCCTTTTATTTAATTTTCTTACCTAATTGCCCTGGCTAGAACCCCCAGTATTGAATTGAAGTGGCAACAGCAGACACCTCGTCTTCTTTCTTCCTGCTCTGAGGGAAAAAACATTCAGTGTTTCATCATTAAGCATGACATTAACTGAGAGTTTCTCACAGATGTCCTCTGTCAAGGTTGAGTGTATTTATCATAAGTGTGTTTATTATGTATTTGGATTTTACAAATGCTTTTTCTGTATCTATTGAAATCACTACATGGTTTTTGTTTTTATTCTGTTGATATAGTGTATTGCATTGATTTTTACATATTAAGATAACATTACATTTCTTGCAAGTTCTGCTTGGTTAATAGTGTATAATTCTTTATGTTGCTGGATTCAGATTATTAGTATTTTATCGAAGATTCTTACATCTATTTTGTAAGAAATATTAGTCTGTAGTTTCCTTTTCTTGTGATGTCTTTGGTTGAAATTTTTAACAGGTAAAATACATTCCCACATTCCTAAAGGAGTCTTTCGTGCCTTCAGCTTTTCATTTGTTCCTAACTTTTCCCTGATTTGCCTTAGCACTTAACTGTCATCAACCTGGCTTAATTCCCAGTCAGAAGGTATTTCCTTCTGGGTTTAGCAAGCTGGGTTGGGGGGTTGGGGGGATGGGTGCCTAAGATGGCTTTGAAAATGAGACAGATGTATCCCAGAACCCTTGTGCGAAAGAGGAAAATATCTAGTGAATGAGAGTCTCCAGTATCTGGGCAGATGTTTGGTATTTTAAATAAAAACAAAACCACCAGAGAGAAATTTGGGTGTGAAAGATACTTTATGACTCTTACCTTAATAACAGAAAGACTTAGGGTCTCCCCTCCCATTCCACTTCCTTTCCATTCCTGTTGCCACTATTGTACACTTGAAATGGGTGAATTGTATGGTATGTAAACCATAACTCAAAACCATTATATAAAGAAGCTATGTGTTGATAATTTAAAAAATCAAAATTATACAGAATTACATAAAGTAGGAAATTAAGGTTCCTCCCCCCGGCCCCTAGTGCCATTCCCCAGAGGGAACTGCCACTAATTATTTGGTGGCTATCTATGAACATAAACTACATATGTATGTAATATACATATATATGCACACACATATATTATATATAATATATACACACATATATATATAATTTATTTAATTATTTGTTTATTTGAACGAGATAGAGAGAGCACACACAACTGGGGGGAGGGACAGAGGGAGAAGCAGACTCCCCGCTGAGCAGGGAGCCCGGTGCGGGGCTGGATCCCAGGACCCCAGGACCATGCCTGAGCCAAAGGCAGATGCTTAACTGACTGAACCACCCAGGTGCCCTTGGTTATATATATTAAATGAGACCATACTATTCCTTATTTTTTCACTTAATATCTCATGGAAAACCTCTGTCAGCCCATGTGCCTCCTTTCCTCCTTTCTGAGGTGTCTGGTATGTCATGCTATGGGTATACCCGTGTCTTCAGTTCCTACGGCCCTTGGGCTGTTCTTATGAGACCTTTTTCCTTCCTGTTCAGGGCCAAGAGCAGCATGGGCAGCAAAGCCCTGTCCCATGACAGCATCTTCATGTTGGATCCTGAGCCTGAAATATCAGTGCATAGAATCTGCCCCTCTCCAGAGCGCCAGAGAGGCAGACCTCGACAGGTAACCATGAACTCAAGCATCAGTGCCTGATTAGACCCCTCCTCTTTCATCCTCCCCACCCCCCATCCCAACTGCCAAAAAACAAAGAGTGGGCAATTTGGCCTTGCTCCCCAGCTGATTCTACCCTACAGGGCTACCATAAAGAAGGGAGAATGTAGAAATACGCAATGTGTTGACCTAGGGCCCAGCACAAGGCGTTGGCTGGCATTACCATATTCACTAGACATGCCCCAAGAATGAGCTAAGTTTTAGGATGGTGACATCCCACTGTTGGTTAATGTGCAAGCATTCCAACCACCATGTTCTTTCATTCTTCTACAGAGATCTCAAGCTTCCAGAACTCTGCCTAGATCTGGGACTAGTGATGTGCATGGAGGTGTTTCTGGACTTATGTTTGGAGCTGTGCCACGATATGTGCCCAGAAGTGGAATCTGGATTGGGGGCTCCAAGGTCTCTGAGGTAATAGAGTGGAATTGTGCCAAGTATGACAGCCGAGTGGGAGAGACCTATGCTTGAATCCTCGCTCTGCTACTTACTGGCTCTGTGATCTTGGGCTGGTTGCTTAACCTCTCTGAGCCTTCCTTTCCCCACCAACAGTGGGTATAATATTAACATATACCTCAGACTGTTGCTTGTGAGGATAGAAAAAAACTCAGAGAGGTTAAAGAAATTGCTCAATCTTCCCCAGAGAGTAAATGGTAGACCTGGAAATCTGACCCAGATGTGTTGACTTCAAAACCCAGTCTTCCCAATATCCCAGGCTTTAAGATATTCCATTTCTTTGTGCCTGCCTCAACAGGGAGAAGGGTCTATGCTTAGAACTGTCTCACCTCTGGATAACCCTAACCATTGCTCAGTTAGACCCATATGGAGCTCTAATCTAGAAATCTCGCAGCGGGGAGCAGGAAGCATTGCCAGGGAGAAAACCCTAAGCAGCTCCCTTCCTCCTTCTCTCAGCTTGTGGGCGGGATGATACCCAGATATCCCTGAGTAACTGAGAAGGCCACACAAGCGGGGGAGACCCTTTTCCATTGAGGAGCTGATTAGTTTGCATTTGGCAAAAGGTAACTGGGGCTTATTCGTGACATGTCTGTAAGACCCCCTATCTCTCACTCTGGTCTATACTGCATGTGAAAGTTCCACGGGCTACATTATCCATGGAGGGTCAACAAGCAAATGCTGAGATGGTGACCAATGGGACCAATCTTATGGCTATAAGGCAGCCCCTAGGTCAGCAGACTATGGTCCTCTCGCACTACAACAGGAAAAGTCGCTTCCAGTCCTCGGTTTTGAACATGAGGACCAGCTTTTGCTTGTCTCCACAGCGACACTCTCTTGCCACATGACCAAATGCTAGAGGGTTATTTCTCGCCTGCAGAAAGGGGAAGCCTGTGTCCTGGAAGCCTCCTGCTCGCCCTCTTCTCTTAGTCCCAGCCACAGAGAGACTCTCATAACAGAGACATGCCATTGCTCTAGAAAGATGATTTGGGGGTAAGTGGGGGGATGAAGATTAAAGGTAAAGATTCTGGGCACATTTCCTCTCACAACGAAGAGGGGGCTAAGGAAAGTCACAACAGCCCAAAGACAAGTTTTCTTAAATGGCTGGTTTGGGCCCAGTCCTCACATCTTTGGCCTTTTCCATAGTCCCTCTTCTGAGAAACAGGGCTGAAGACAGGGTAGGGTGTCAATGGAACCTAAGCCAGCCACCGCCAGATCGACCTTTGCATGGGAGACTTCCCTTAAGTGCCAAGGTCACAACCCTAAATGATATGGTGGTTGATAGCATTAAGTCAAGAGTCCTGACCCCCCCATCCCAGTGCTGCACAGACACTGAGCAAGTATGGAAATGGCCAATGTCTGGGGTTCTCGAAGGGGCAGGATCCATAATGCATTATGTGACTTTCTGAGCAGCTGGAAGATTGTGGGAGAGGAAATTCCAGCATATCATTTTGTTAGAAATACCAAGGCTGAGCTGTGTTTTATTCCCTACCAGATTTTCACCTGCTCTTTTATCTGAAGTGTTAGGAATGTGGGTGCCTAGATGGCCCTCCGAGACGTTGTATGTTCTTTTTGTTTGAGAACAAATACATAAGAAGTACTGGCAGGTTGTGAACACCTTCTTGTGGAATCAAATTGAATTGAGTAATTTAAGAGACTGCAAAGGTTGCAAAGCAGTCTTCTTACTGCTCACAGACCTGGCGCTCCCTCTGCAGCCCTTCTTAAGGAAGGAGGCACACCCTCTCTTCTGGTTGTTGCCTTTAAAGTCCTTGAGTATGGGACATTCCCCCCCTTCCTGGCTCTTACAGTCAGGAGACAGGAGTGTGCAGGGCTTAAGAACATGGGCTTCACAGGCAAGCAGACCTTTCAGACACTTGCTAGGCCAGCGGGGAAATTAGGGCCAGTCATGTCATCTCTCAGACCTGATCTTCCGCATCTGGAAGGAGCAGGTGTTTCAAAGAATCGTCGCAAGGTTTGCATGACATGCATCTACGAAGGGCACCCCCTGCCTGGCAGGGAGAAAGACTTCAAACCAATTACCTAAACACCTAACCCTTCACCTGAAGGAATGGGAAAGAGAAGAGCAAACAAAACCCAAAGCTAGCAAAAGGAAGGAAAAATACAGATTAAAGCAGAGTAAAGCCCTCAGTAAAAGTGAGTTGTCATTATCATTATTAGAATTGGGCTTGGCACTGGTGAAGCTCCAAGACTTCTTCTCAAGAGTCCCCAGTGGGGCCTGGTGGTGATAAGGGGGCACTTCAGACACTAGCCAGGAGTGATCCAGGGGCAGAACCTTGGACAAACCCTCCTCGGGGCCTCTTGTCTTTGACTTTGAGAGTTTGAAACTCATCTGTCCTGAGCAGGAGACAGAAAAAAGCATGTCAGCACCAAGACAAGAAAGATTTTGTTTTGTTCATTGCTATAGGCCCAATGCTTAGTTAGAATGGAGTATGGCCCACTGTAGATGCTTAACAGTATTTGTTAAAGATCAAATGAGAGATTTAGATCCACATCCAAATGACCATGGCAGAGGCCAGCATGTCAGATTCAAGTGTATCATGAGGTTCAAATTGGAATGAACTAAATTAGTGTGCTGAAGTCCAAGGGAAACCCAAATGATCCATTTCATCCCCTTAGGAAAACTAAGAAAGTAGTTCAAAGCAAGGCTAGTTCTGTAGATTTTCTAATAATTCCAGAAGATCGATCTTGACAGGATTAAGATAAACAGCCAACAGAGTCAAGATCTGATCCAGGCAATTCCTGGAATGATAGGAGCAAGGATTATAGTTTGGATGCCAAGCCTAGATCTTAACCCCAAAACTCAACCTCCATAAGAACCAGACTTCTGAAGACAGGGACAAAATAAAAACAAAGATCAGACTCAAAGAAGATTTATAGTTAGCAACAGAGAGAGAGAACACCAGAATTCTGTTTTTTTTAAAGATTTTATTTATTTATTTGACAGAGATCACAAGTAGGCAGAGAGGCAGGCAGAGAGAGAGAGAGAGACAGAGAAGAAGAAGGAGGAGGAGGAGGAGGAGGAAGAGAAGGAAGCAGGCTCCCTGCAGAGCAAGAGAGCCCGACTTGGGGCTCGATCCCAGGACCCTGGGATCATGACCTGAGCTGAAGGCAGAGGCTTTAACCCACTGAGCCACCCAGGTGCCCCCAGAATTCTGGTTTTGATCAAACAAGCAGTTCGAAGTTTCTGTCTTTGGGGATTAGCAAAAGTGTGCTGCAGCCCAGAGAGTGACTCAAGCCTATTGGTCTTTGGTCTACACAGGTCAAAAAGTGAGGACAGAGGGGAAGGAGATTCTTTCCATGGCTTGTTTTTCCATGTTGGGGTCTTGATACTGCAACCATTAAGCAACAATAGGACACCAGTAATTTGAAGGAAAGCACACAAGTTCTAACATTTTCCTTCTATTCTCCTCCTTCCCAGCTCCCCTCACTGCGCCGACGCCACTCAAGCAGCAGTCCCCCTCTGATCCGATCTCACACAACCTCTGCTGACTTTGAAGAAACCTCTGTTGATGAGGAGTCACCTAAGATCCCACAGAGGAAAGATTTACCAATCAAGATTATGTCAATGAGGAAGGTGAGTGTTAGCCACATTCCAAGTGGTAGGTTTGGTTGGGGGATCCAGGTCAGAAGCATAATCCCTTTTGCTCTCTTCTGCTGTGGCTTAGCACTAGGGGGCCACTTGAGGAAGGAGCAGCCATTTTTGACTTCTGATTTGCATAGTGATTTACATTTTCTGTCCAATTTTACAAATGAAATTATCAGCACTTTGGTTTATAAGCAATGGAAGACAGTATTTCAGAAAACAATAATAGTTTGCAGGTGTTTTCAGTTCTTTTGAGAAGAAAACAATGGAGATTTTTGTGGAAGTAAAGTCTCTATGTTTTCGAATGCCAGAATCTCAAAGGTCGGGGCATGTAGTATTGTTTGGTAGACACGCACCTATAAGAAAAAGCATTCGACATGTACATTTCATACATCTAGGTTGGTCAACCAAATAATATCCATCAACAATTGAAAAATTAATAGATGGTGCCCATATCAATACTTCCATTCTCAAACTAATGTGTGGTTAATTTAATTGGTTGTTGCTGAACTTGAGAAGACTTTTAAAGATTTTATCTATCTATCTATCTATCTATCTATCTATGAGAGAGAGAGCAGAGGAGCAGAGCGGGAGGGAGCTGGACAAGCAGACCCTATGCGGAGCCCAACCCGGGGCTCGATCCCACCACCCTGAGATCATGAACCAAGCTGAAACCAAGTCAGAGGCTCAACCAACGGAACCACCAGGCATCCCAAACTTGAAAGGACTTTTAAAGTGAAGTAGAGTTTAGAATAATCAACCTTGGTTATTGATAGGTAATTAATTGATAATAAAGATCATTGGTCAGTTAGCACAAAACTGCTTTGATGCTAGAAGATCCTATGGAATGAAGTAACCTTTTTTAGATGTGTCAACAAGAAGAAAAAACAATCAAGTTAGGAACAAAGTTAAAGCACAGGCAGGTGGTAGGGGGATATGGATGCTCACTGATTTATGGACTTAGACTATATGTATTTTCTGTAGAATACCGCTAAATCAGACAAATTAGTCTCATTTGGTAGAAGGATTGAATTAAGATAACATTTTCACTGTGATAAAATAAACATAACAAAACTTATCATGGTACACTATACAATTCAGTGGCATTAAGTACATTTACTACGCTGTGCAACCATCACCACTATCTAGTTCCCGAATGGTTTTGGTTCCCCCAGACAGAAGCCCCCTATGTATCATTCCTCTCTCCTCTCAGCCCCTGGCAACCACCAATCTGCGTTCTGCCTCTGGATTTGCCCATTCTGGATACTTCATAGAAATGTAATCACACAGGGGCGCCAGGGTGGCTCAGTGGCTTAAAGCCTCTGCCTTCAGCCCTGGTCATGGTCCCAGAGTCCTGGGATCGAGCCCCACATCTGGCTTTCTGCTCAGCAGGGAACCTGCTTCCCCCTCTCTCTCCGCCTGCCTCTCTGCCTACTTGTGATCTCTGTCTGTCAAATAAATAAATAAAATCTTTAAAAAAAAGAAATGTGATCACACAGTATATGACCTTTTGCATATGGCCTCTTTTCCTTAGTACAAAGTTTTTGAGGTTTTTGAGGTTGTACTACCATGTTGTAGTACTTCAATCATTTTTGTGGCTGAATAACTCTCCATTGTATGGATATATCGTGTTTTGTTGAGCTCTTCATCAACTGATGAACATTTGGGTCCTATCTCCCTATTGGTTATTATGAATAATGCTCTCCGAAGCTTCATATACGAGTTTTTGTTTGAACACTTGTTTTCAAGTCTTTTGTGTGCATACCTGGGAGCAGAATTGCTGGATGGGATGGTAATTCTATATTTATCTTTTTGAGAAACCACCAAACTGTTTTCCCCAGCAGCTACACCACTTTATATTCCCCCCTGCTTAGGTGTAAGGGTTCCAATATCTGCAAAAGTTGCCCAATGCTTGTTATTTTCCACTTAAAAAAAATAGTCATTCTTGCGACTGTGAAGTGGTATCTCATTGTGGTCTTGATTAGCATTTCTCTAGTGGCTGACAATGTTAAGCATCTTTTCATGTATTTATTGTCCATTTGAATATCTTTCTTTGGAGAAAGGTCTATTCAAGGCCTACGCCCATTTTTAATTGTGTTGCTTGTTTTTTTCATTGTTGAGTTATTAGTCCTGCACGTATTCTGGATACTAGACCCTTTTCAGATATATGATTTGCAAATATTTCCTCCATTCTGTAAGTTGACTTTTAATTCTCTCAAAAGAATAACATTTTAAAAAATAGTTTAATTTTGATGAAGTCCAATTTATTGATTTTTTTTTCTCTTGGTACTTGTATTTCTGGTGTCATGTCAAAGAGATCATTGCCCAATCTAAGATCATGAAGATTTACCCCTATGTTTTCTTCTAAGAGTTTTACCTCTTATAATTAAGTCTTTGATCTATCTTGAGTCCTTTTTAATATATGGCGCGAGAGAGGGTCTAACTTCATTCTTTTGCACATGGCTATCCAGTTGTCCTAGCACCATTTGTTGAACAGAGTATTATTCCCTCCATTTAATGTTCTTAGCACGCTTACTGCAAATCATTTAACCACAGAAGAATGGATTTATTTTTAGACTTTCAATTCTATTCTAATGATCTGTATGTCTCTGCTTATGCCAGTACTACTCTGTCTTGGTTACTGTAGCTTTGTAGTAAGGTTCAAAATCAGGAAGTGAGAATTCTCCTATTCTGTTCCTTTCTTTTTTTTTTTTAAGATAGTTTAGGCTTTTTGGGGTCTCTTGCAATTCCATATCAATTTTACAATAAGTTTTTCCATATCTTCTAAAGTTCACATTGGGAGGGGCACCGGTGATTCAGTGGGTTAAGTGTCTGACTTCAGCTCAGGTCATGATCTCAGATCCTGGGACTGAGCCTCACATTTGGTTCCATGCTCAGTGGGGAGTCTGCTTCTCCCTCTGCCCCTCCCCCAGCTTGTGTGCATGCTCTCTCTCTCTCTCTCAGATAGGTAAATAATATCTTAATTTTTTTTAAAAAGCATATTGGGATTTTGACTGGGATTGCATTGAATTTTGAGGTCACTTTGGGGAGTATCACCATCTTAACATCAAGTCTTCCAACTCATGAACATGTGATGACTGTTCATTTATTTAGGTCTTTAATTTCTTTTGGTGATGTTTTGTAGTTTATATGTACAAGTCTCACACCTCTTTGGTTAAACATATTTCCAAGTATTTTTTTAAAGATTTTATTTACTTACTTGAGAGAGAGAGAGAGAATGAGAGAGAGAGAGTATGAGAGGGGAGAGGGTCAGAGGGAGAAGCAGACTCCTCACTGAGCAGGGAGCCTGATGTGGGACTTGATCCTGGGACTCCAGGATCATGACCTGAGCCTACAGCAGTCGCTTAATGAACTGAGTCACCCAGACACCCTAAGTATTTTTTCTGGATGATTTTGTGAGTGGAAGTGTTTTCTTAATTACCTTTTTGGATTGCTCATACCTAGTGATTTTTGTGTGTTGATCCTGTAACTTTTAATTTTGATTAATTCATTTATTAGCTCTCCTAGATTTATGGGGATTCTTTAGAATTTTATTTTTTGTTAACATTTTAATTTCTTCTCTTCATATTTTGCCTCTTTTATTGAGTTCTCTCTATAAATTCACTTGGTATTTTCTCTGCTTTTATGAGAATGCAAAATCTGTCTGGGATTTTTCCCCCCAAACATTGTAATTTTCAGTTCTAGGATTTTCTATTTGGTTCCTTTTTAAAAAAGATTTTATTTATTTATTCATGAGAGACAGACAGAGAGAGAAGCAGAGGGAGAAGCAGGGTCTCCACTGAGCAGGGAGCCTGAGGCAGGACTCAATCCCAGGACTCCGGGATCATGACCTGAGCCAAAGGCAGCTGCTTAACCATCTGAGTCACCCAGGCACCCTCTATTTGGTTCTTTTTTTTATAGTTTCCATTTCTCTTTGAAACTCCCCACCTGACTATTATAATTATATTAACTGCAACTATATATACATATATAATTTTTTACATATGAGATCGTGTCATTTGTAGATATAGTTTTACTTCTTCCTTTCCAATTTGCATGGTTTTGTTTCTTTTCCTTACCTAATTGGCTAGAACTTCCAGTAGAATGTTGAATAAAAGTGGTAAGAGCAAAAAAAAATGCTAAGAGTGAACGTCCTTGTCTTATTCTTGATCTTGGGAAAGATTTCACTGTTTCACCATTGAGTATGATCTTAGCTATGCATTTTTCACATAAGTTCTCTATCCCTAGTTTGTTAGGTGTTTTTGGCATGAAAAGATTTTAGATTTTGTCATATGTTTTTTGTATCCATTGGGATGATCATGTTATTTTTTTCCTTCATTTTATTAATATGGTGTATTACATTGAGTGATTTTCATATGCAAACCTCTTTGCAATCCTGGGATAAATCCCAACTTGCATGCTATACAATTGACTTAATAGGCTGGTGGATTTGGTTTGCTGGCATTTTTGCATGTGTTTTTATGAGGGATATAAGTCTATAGTGTGCTTTTCTTGTGATACCTTTATCTAGCTTTGAAATCATGGCAATGTTGGCCTCACAGAACTGGGGTATTATCTCTTCCATTGTTTTTGAAATATTTGTTTCAACTGGTGTGAATTGGTGTGAATTATTGGTGTGGATTGGTGTGAATTATTCCTTAAAAGTTTGGTAGAATTCACCAGTGAGGCCATCTGGTCCAGGTCTTTTTTGTTGTTGGAAAGTTTTGATTACTGATTCATTCTCTTAACCTGTTATAGATGAATTCAAATTTTCTTTCTTCTTGGGTCAATTTTGATAAATTGGGTGTGTCTAAGAATATATCCCTTCCCCTAGGCTATCTAATTTGTTGATATACAATTATGTATAGTATTGTCTTATAATTCTTATTTCTTTAAGGTCACTAGTGATTGTCTCCTTTCACTTCTGATTTTAGTAATTTGTGACTTCTCTTTTTTAACATAGTAAATCTAGCTAAAGATTAGTCAATTTT